TATATATATATATATATATATATATATATATATTTGATACCTAAATTGATATAAGCAAGTCGGGTCAGCATAAATTATCTGGAAAAACGCGTTCCTACTCTCGAGGCCACTCGAGACATGGTGGCCACGGGAGTGTGCTACCGTGCGCTATTGGGCCCGCTGCTAGGTTGCGCTGCATCGCTCCCTCTATTTAAGCGCGAAGGCGTGGACACTCGGCCTCCTCGCTCTCAAAGCAAAAGGACAGACCGGCCTCGACCGCTCGGCCGAAAATGGCGCCGGCGCCGGCGCCGGCCCTGTTGGAGCCGGGAGTGGACGTCGACAAGTTGAGCTACGAGATTTTCTCCATCCTGGAGAGCAAGTTCCTCTTCGGCTTCGACGACCACAAGCCCCTTCCCCTCCAATCCTCCCCTGCCTCCGCCTCGCCGGTGCCCCCTCAGCCGCCCGCCCCCCGTGCGCCCGCGGGCAGGGTCCGCATCCTCTCCGTTGACGGCGGCTGCCGCCCCTCCGATGCCCTCCTCGCCGCCGCCTCCCTCGCCCGCCTCGAGTCCTTCCTCCGCGACACCCCCGCCCGCGTCGCCGACTTCTTCGACGTCGCCGCCGGATCCGGCGCCGGGGGCGTCCTCGTCGCCATGCTCTTCACCCGTGGCCCCGACGGTCGCCCCCTCTTCGCCGCCGACGAGGCGCTGCGGCTCTTCGCCTCCTGGAGCACCGGGTCGCCGTCGGGGTCGTTCAGCCCCCCGAGAAAGGGCCCGCTCGGGTGGGTGCTACGGCGGAAGCCCGGGGGTCTCTTCCGGCGGGTGTTCGGCGACGCCACGCTGAGGGACACCCTGAAGCCGGTGCTGGTCCCGTGCTACGACCTGGCTACAGGGGCGCCGTTCCTGTTCTCGCGGGCGGACGCGATGGAGGCGGACGGGTACGACTTCCGCATCTGGGAGGTGTGCGCCGCCACGTGCGCGTCGCCCGCGGCGGCGGTGGAGATGAGCTCCGCAGATGGGCGGACGCGGATCGCCGCCGTCGGGGGCGGGGTGTCGATGGGCAACCCCGCGGCCGCGGCCATCACGCACGTGCTCAACAACAAGCAGGAGTTCCCCTTCGCCGCTAGCGTGGACGAACTCATGGTGCTCTCGCTCGGAAGCAGCGCCGCCGGTGTGGACAGCGCTTCCGGCAGACGGCGGCCGGTTCCGTCGGCGGCGGAGCTCGTGAGGATCGCCAGCGAGGGCGTCGCCGACATGGTGAGGACCTCCCCACCCCCCCTCTCTATCTCGTCGCCAGCTGGCTTTGTTTTTAGCCTCTTTTTTCCCTCTTTAAATTACTCGTATGTATACATTAATTTGTTTTGTTTCTGAAAACCTGACAAAAAATGTCGGCTGTACTGTGTAAGCTGACCATCCGTCCATTCGATGGGGCCCACCATGAATCCCCCAGTGGACGGTTCAGATAATTACGTAGGAAACATTTATATTAATTAATTCGGTATCATTCTTAAATTGGGATGGATATGTTATCAGGTGGATCAAGCGATTGCAATGGCATTCGGACACAACAGGACAAACAATTACGTACGGATTCAGGTAGTTATTCTCCATTACACAAATCAATCTATCATCACTCTGTTATCGTTCATTACTTTTGTCAATAATCTCAGGCTAACTTGTTCGGATTGGACAACAATTATTCTGCGAGAACGAGCAATGCAGATAGATTGATTTGTGCAATGGAGGAAAGATTGTCGCAGAGGAATGTGGAATCGTTGTTGTTTAGAGGGAAGAAGATATCAGATCAAACTAATGCGGAGAAGCTCGAGTGGTTCGCTAGCGAGCTCATCAAAGAGCATGAGAGGAGGAAGAAGAGCCTGATTCCCGTAATAGTGTTGAAGCAAGTCATGACACCGAGATCGTCCACCGCCACCACCACTGTCATTACTGGCACCACCACCACCTCAACAACATCAACAGCTGCTTCGCTCTAATTCTCTGAGCAACAAATAAACGAAAATTAGTTCTTTAGGAAAAATAAGAGATCAAAGCTTGGTGGTTGCTGAGCGTGAAGCCAGTGCTGATGGCACATTGTGTATAAGGGGCTATGTATGTGAAGTCTGTTCAAGCTTTGGTTGAATTAGACTTTCAACTGAGACTATTTCTTTTGGTACAATTCAAGCACTGTGATCTCCATGGCCAGTGACAGATTTGACATCTTACAGGAGTTCTCTCATACAAGGTGCACTAGCTGTGCTTGGTTGCATGGTATGCAAATGTCTACTGTAAAAGAGACATCAAAGTTGTTGCTCCAAACACGAGTGCAACTTAGTTCCCATTGGTCAAAACTGATGGGGAGCCACCTGACACCACCAACTAGAGAGAGACGTGGTGGATAGTCTTATGTTACAGCTGTTGCATCTCTCGAATGGAGTGGTAAAAATTTTGCCAAAGTCAACCTGTGTCAAATTTGGTAGTCCATCATAGACAATCGATGCATCCAAAGCAAAAAATCTATATGCAGGAGACCAGATCCAACGAAAGAAGAATCTGCAACTCTGTTGATAGAGCTGGTTTGCACCATAGAAGAAGGTGAGAAACTTCACATTAATTAACCTCCAAAATGGTATGTAACAGCTAACTTATTGTTCTTCTTTTGTATCCTTGATGGCATTGTAGAGTGCGACCTTGAGAACCAAAATGTACTTTCTTTGATTTAGTTTATCAAGGGTCAGAGGTGGGTTTGTGACTGTCAAACAGTTCAGCATTAATATATGGCAAGTGTCTGAAAGCCAAGTTAACAGGCATATAGTCTCTCCTGATCTTTCTGAACTAGTTGTTTTCCTTAGTGTATTGTAGACCAGTAATTAATGAGAGTTAAACATGTGTGGAGACAAGGACAATGCACTAAATGTCAGTGAATAAGACAGTGCTCGAGTAGCTGTCACATGGATGGATGGAGCCTCTACCTAGTAGAATGCTACTCTTTTGTTTAGCATTTTATGGTTGGCAATTAGCAAGCTGTAAGCTGTAGTAATCCTAGGGTAAGTTATGGGGTGTGAATTGAGAGATGATTTTCTCAGATCTTGTCCAGTTTCTCATGTAATAGTGCATGAACTTTGGACTGCTGGTAGAAGTAGTCATGATTGAATAGTGTTACAGAAATGCCTTCCCAGAAAAGTGTGCTCTAAAAGTTAGTCCACTTCTTCACCAAAATAATGTTAGTCCACCCTGTGGTAGAGCTGTTAAACACTTGGCAATGACAAATGGAGTGAAACATATTGTTCTGATCTGAAGCTCCATTGTCAACTTGATTCCTTGGAAAAGTGAAGCAGAGAAGAGCTCAGGGAAGTGATAAAAGCATGACATTAATGCATGGATAACCTTTCCTTTAGTTTAAGACTATAAATCAGAAGCTCCATTGTCACTAAAGGATAACCTTTCCTTTAGTGACAAAAGCATCTTCCAAGTTGATTACTTGGTTGCATTGATCACTGATTTCAGTCAACCATGTTGCTCATAACATGAATGCATGGGTGACCTTTTGTCCCTGCCTTGGCAAAGTGGAGTTTAGGGTGCACCAAGTTGAATACTTGGTTTCATTGAATACTGTAGAAATCAATGTCGGTGAGATTAGGTTAGGAAATGATCACTCCATATGTTTACTCTGAAATGAGCCACATTACAACTGAAGATAGTACAACACACATCTACAGATATTTAAGAAAACTCTTGGTGAGTACCTTCTCTGTGATCCAATGCAGGGGAGGACATGTACCTCTGTTAGTTGGAATCTAAATTAGGTTTCTGACAATATCTTGATTCAGTCATAAGTAACGAAGGCCAACACTGTTTAACCTTGAATCTACTGCAACAACAGCTAACCAATTTGTTGGCGAGTATATAACAAGGGAAGGTTACCGTCTTCCCTTGTTTACTTTGCTAGGGTTCCTTTGAGAAGGAGAGTGAGTTGTTTAAGAAAGTGAGTGACCAAGTTTTTGATGCTTTGCTTTGTCACAGAGATCTGAATCTATCTACATAGTTGCAGTCACCAATATTTCTGTACTTAGGTACTAATGTAATGAACAAGAATTGGGGAATTTTGACAAAGCTTTTTCTGTAAAAAAATTATTGGATGTGATGTTGCACTGTTCTCTTTTTAGAATTCTTCCAAGTATATCTGCTGCTTTTAGACCTTGTTATGACCAGAGAGTAGTGCACCTCAAACTAGGATTTGCCAGTATTATTTAAGCTGTATGAAGATTTAACAAGTTCTGCATGTGAAACAATAAGAAAGGGGTTCTGTATAAAAGCACAGATCACATAGTTTTGCACATCTTTTATGCTAGTCTTTTATTGCTTTTAGACCTTCATGCTTTTTTATTTGTGTTACATGTGAGGATCCAAGATAATTAACATCTTCCCCTCCTGATTGAAATGGTAGCAGAGCAAATCCAACCTTTCAGCTATTCCATGAGGCACTACTTTAAAGTTTAGAAGCAACTTATGTGTTGATTTCAAGTTAGGAATCAGGGAAGGGACCATGGAATGCTTAAACCAAATGGTCCCAACCGAGAGTAATTTGGTTGATATTCTCTGCTTTCCTGGGTATTTATGTCTTGGAATTGTCAGCCATTGACATGCCTTTTGTTATTATTAGCAAGAATAGCTTGTTTCTATTATCCCATAGGTGTCAGTAGACCAATGTGACCTATATGCACTGTAAATTTCTTTTTCATGAGAAACTGGTAAGTCCTTCCTTGAACCAAGTGTTGTTTGCAGTCGGGTTAAAGCAGTTCAGCAACAAAAAAAATCAAATGAAAGCAGACAACATACTGCTATATATACACTACAAAATTCAATAAGATATATGTATGTTTAATTTACTTCAAGATGTTTGAATCAAAACATACTTTAGCCATAGCTAGCCTGAAAAGTTTATCTCTTTTGTCTCATAGGCATCAATAGAACACTTTGGTCTGTATGCAGTATAAAAAATTCTCTTTTCTTATGATAAACTGTAAAATCCTTTCTTTGAACTAATTATTTCTTACTGTCAGGTTAAAGCAGCTCAGAAACAAAAAATTACTTCAACTTTGATGACTTTATTCAAATGAAAGCAGACAACAGAGTTGAAGGATTGCACTTATATAAGATCATGACAGCCACTGAAGATCTATACTTTTGCACTTTAAAGAGCATAGAACTTGTGGTCCTTGGTCTTGGGATGTCAACCTTAAGGCTGTCTACAAGAAAAAGCTGATCCTTCATCCATGTCTTCTGCAACTTTCTCTTGCTGATGATAAACAGAAAGCAAACATAGGCAATGAGGAAGACCTGCAGAGATTTAATGAGCACCTATTGTCTGGCTGCAAGCAGAGGCCTGGTGTTAACCATGGCAAAGGGTATCTGCAATGAGATCTTCACCTTTCATTCATTGTCAGGACCCAATGTTCTGGTCATGAGGCCATTTCATAGATTAGCAGGAAGGTTGCATATGATTCCTTTCTTTGTGTAAGTGCCACTGATGAAGGTTACTATTTAAGTGTTTGAACTTTACAAGTGCACCGGTACCATTGTGTTCCCTACCTTCTCTTTTGGTCTCCACTTTTCTTCATCAAAAACAACTAAAGCACAAGGTTCATCAATGAGAGAATGAGTGGTGGGATGTAACTTTTCTCTTTGATGATTCTTCCCTGCAACTCTTCCCAAGTTTCCATTGTGGATCACTAGCACTCCCCCCTCTCTCTTCTCTCTCTCTCTCTCTCTCTCTCTCTCACTCACACTGACAAATGATGAATCAGGCCTATGGACTTTGTTTGGGTCTCACTGTGAAATATTGGGATCCAACCTTATGGACCGGCCTGTTATATATGAAGGTTCAAATCATATCCATTATAAAAAACAAATAACAATAATAAAATGTACTAATTCTTTAGAATTGAATACATGCATCTTTTATCGTCATTTAATTTTTATTTTTATTAAATTATAAATATTTACTTTTTATTTATAATCTTATATAAAATCTTTTTGCTCATATTATTGAGAGCAATTATTTCATCTTTATAATATTTATAATATAGGAATTATTTGATGAGACTACAGCTTTTAGTTCGGACTCAATTTGTCTTCTTATATATATATATATATATATATATATATATATATATATATATATATATATATATATATAAGAACTTAGATTGACTTGGAAAGCTTAATGATATGCCGGAAATGTAACAGCAAGAAAATTTGCCGGACATAATGATATCAGGTCGATCACGGCCGTCTGATGTCACGACCAACGAATTCGCTTCAACGGCCCCCGATTGGTCAACCATCGCCGCCACTCCCGTATAAATATATTCTCGCTCCTCCCTCTCATTTCCCAAAACCCTAGTCACTCGTCTAGGGTTTTGCCCTCCCGGTCCCTCTTTCTGCTGCGGTTTCGATCCACGGACGATGAACTTCTTAATCCGGAGGTCTTCTTGGGTCGCCGCCTCGGCGTCTAGGCGAGCCCTAGCAGCTCTGGTTTCTTCGAACTTTTCTCTTCTTCCGCCGTCGGTCGCCTCGGCGTCGTCCGTTCCGTCATCAGCCGATGGTATCGTTCCGTTCTTTAGGTTCGCGCAACAAATCGAGTTTTGTGGTTCCCAGCGCAGGGGAATCCACTTCTCGGCCGGGCCTTTGGGGTTCAGGGCCACTGATGTCGCCTTTGCGGAGTACGCCGTCGACGAGTACTACGAAGAAGACAGAGGGAGTCCTGAGGGAGTAGACGAGGGGTTAGAGATCGCCAAGCTGGGGATTTCGCAGGATATCGTGACTCAACTTGCAAATAGGGGGATCACAAAGCTTTTTCCCATACAGGTATTGAAATATCGTCGGCTAAGCTGTCGTCGTCTTTTAATTTGTTCAGCAATGTGTTGACCTTTGTGCATGCCTGCTAATTTGTTCAGGAATGCCGAAGTGCTATGTTTCTTATCCATTGATTTATTAAATTTGTTATTTTTTGATATCTAAAAGTAAGTATTAACCTTCTAGAATATCTGTTTTAGCATCAAGTTTATTAATGTTGCTTTTGCACTATTAAATAGAGGGCTGTACTTGAACCTGCAATGCAAGGACAAGACATGATTGGTCGTGCAAGGACGGGTACAGGGAAAACTCTTGCTTTTGGAATACCAATTATGGATAAGATTATCCGCTTTCAGGCCAAGCATGGGTAAGTTCGTTGTTCAAGACGTGGATAGACTCCTCGATGAACAATTTTATCTGATTCATGATGCAAGATAATCTCTAACTGCTAGATGGTTTTCTGCAGCTGTGGAAGAAACCCTTTGGCGATGGTATTGGCACCGACCAGAGAACTTGCTCGACAAGTTGAGAAGGAATTTAAAGAGTCTTCTAAGTTGTACACTCTTTGTGTTTATGGTGGCTCTCTGATTAGTCAGCAGATGAGAGCACTTGATTCTGGTGTTGATGTTGTGGTTGGGACTCCTGGACGAATTATTGACTTGCTTAATAGAGGCGCCTTGAATTTGTCAGAGATTCAATTTGTTGTCCTTGATGAAGCTGATCAGATGCTTAATGTTGGTTTTGCTGAAGATGTAGAGAGAATTTTGGAAAAGATGCCCCCAAAACATCAAACTTTGATGTTCTCTGCTACAATGCCAACTTGGATCCAAAAGCTTACACGGAAATACCTAAAAGATCCAGTTAATATTGACCTTGTGAGTATGACTGTTCAGTTTACATCCTTATAACATCTGATTTTGCTAGTCAGTCGTTAGTGTTTCTTTATTGGGACTAGGAATTTTTAGCTTTTCTAGGACTAAGTAAGTGCCTCTAGATTGTTGTGCTTCTCTTACTTTTATTATTTATGATATTACATCTATACGTTTCTTTTCCTGTAGTACTGAAAATCTTGAAATTTCTTTGTAATGTCTATGTAATCATGCTGTTGTATATGTATTATGTATATCATTCTTTCCATTGAAAAGATTTTGTCATGCTATCTCAGTTGTTTTTTTTTCTGTGTTATCTTCTTTTATTCATTTTCTTTTTTGAATCAACTGTCTTGATGGCCCAGCCCTTGTATTTTTCAATTATCTCAAAAAGACTTTAGAACTTAAATCCCCATTTCCACTTCTGTTGTCTACTAGTTGTCATTTGCTTGGTTGAAATTTCTTTGTGATGTTTATGTAATCATGCTGTTGTATCTGTAGTATGTATTTCATTCTTTCCATTTAAAAGATTATGTCATGCTATCTCAGTTGTTTTTTCCTGGTGTTAGCTTTTTTTATTTAATAAACTGTCTTTGTGACCCAGCCCTTGTTTTTTTCAATTATCTCAAAATGACTTTAGATCTTAAATCTCTGTTTCTATTTCTGTTGTCTACTAATTGTCATTTGCTTAGTTGAACTGTATACTCCAATCGTAAATAGCATATGGTCTTGTCCTTAGACTGCAATTGTTAAGGTTATCATAACTGCACTTGTTCAATATCATTGTTTAGGTTTTCCTGCTATTTTTGAATTTAAAATAAACACTTTGTCTTACCCTTTCCAACTAGGATGTTTTACAAACACAATGCTGTTTGGCATTAATTTTCTGTTATTAGGTTTTTATGGATTTACCAATAAGTTTGAGATTATATTCTATGGGAAATATTTGATGTATCATATTTACGTAATTGCTTTTTGGTAAGGGTAACTGTTTTCTTTTAAAAATACCTTAATTAAAAACACTGACCTTTACATGAGGTTAGATAAAAATGTTAAAATTACCTTGATTTCCAGTTTTTTTCTATCATAAGCCTGACAAGGTAGTCATTACCTTGCATTCTGATGACCAGAAGATAGCTAAAGCCAGTATGTTTGATGTTCTTGATGCATTTGGTAATTAGTTGATAATATATTTTGTGTTTGATTCAGAATATTCATGTAGGATGCTTTTTTGTAGGTTGGTGATTCTGACCAGAAGTTAGCAGAAGGGATAACTCTGTACTCTATTGTTTCAGATAATTATGCAAAGGCATCAATTCTTGGGCCACTAATAAAGGTAATTTGTTAGCAGCTGATCCCAGTGAGCGACCTTATAGTCAAGTCAGCCTTTTTAGTTTAGTTAAACATAGTTTATAAAAAAAATTTTGTTGGTTTTTTTCTAGGAACATGCTAAAGGAGGTAAATGCATATTATTTACTCAAACAAAACGTGATGCGGATAGGTTGGCTTATTCCATGGGTCGGAGCTTTGGATGTGAGGCTCTTCATGGTGACATCTCACAGGGCCAGAGGGAAAGAACACTAGCTGGATTTCGTGATGGCCGCTTTAATATTTTGATAGCTACTGATGTTGCTGCTCGTGGATTGGATATACCGAATGTTGATCTGGTGAGCGTCTTTTCTTAGTCAATATGTTATTTTTTTTGACACACGTCAAACTTTTCAAATTTTTCAATATGAAACATTTTTCTCAATTGTAGTTTGTAGATAAGAAATTATGATGCTCCTGATCATCTGGATTTGTAAGTAGGTGTACTTTTTTAGTAGATTGCAAGAGGAGCCTCTCCAGCAAAGCTATACTCTAATTAATCATTTCATTGGACATATATGTAGCCTGTTGAGTCTGTCTATATTTTGTACCAATTCTTCTGGTGTATCCTTTTACTTTTTTTTCTTCTTTCAGTTGTGTCATGCATGCATGCATTTCTACTGTTCTAATATTTATTCCAATTGACTTCTGGTATCACCATCTCATAGTATATGATGAACTAGCATTTTTGAAATAGGATGAGAATAAAATTTTTTGTTTGGTTTGTGTGGTGGTGGTGGTGGTGGTGATGCCCTCCAGTGGTTAAAGACTACTCTAAACTATTCAAACCTTACTCTGCTCAACAGATGTTCTTTTTTTCTTTCCCAATGTCAACATTCAACAAATGATGCAAAGATCATGATTTTGTTTTCTACTATGGATAATTTATGTTTACATGTACAGAACATACTTTATTGACTTAAGTTAATTTAGGTGTGAGAATGGTCGGTATATGCTCATGGTATGATCTTTTTTTTATCAGATGCCTAATTTTAACTTTTTTAGATTCACTTCACCATTTTTTGTTCTGCTTTGTCAATATTAAGTCATGTTTGAAGGTACCATGCTCTTTACTAAAATGATCATCTTCTTTGGCCAGGTGATACATTATGAACTGCCAAACACAACCGAATTATTTGTTCATAGATCTGGTCGAACTGGGCGAGCTGGCAAAAAAGGTAGTGCGATTCTTATACACTCGTATGACCAAAATCGTCTTGTTAGAGGCATTGAACAAGAGATAGGATGCAGGTTTATCGAGGTAATTTTGTTTTTCTTGTTTGGGCAAACCAGTTGACAAATTGGACTTTCGACATCCCTCACTTTCACCAGAAGATCGCATTGGATGCTTTGCATTTTTTTGGGTGAAGGCTGGGAAATATTGTTAAGCTAGTTAGCTTTGTGAATTTGTCTAAAGTTTTTGCATTCTAGTGGGTATACTATTTTTGTTGGAAGCTGCAGGAACTTGACTATTTGGTTGACATTATTCTTGAAAT